GAGTGTGGGTGTGTGTGTGTGTGTGTGTGTGTGTGTGTGTGTGTGTGAGAGAGTGTGTGTGTGTGTTTGTGTGTGTGTGTGTGTTTGTGTTTGTGACTTATGACTGGTTTCGTGCTCCAGGGTCACATTTGCTCTTCACTCACTGAAATTGAATCCGAATGATCAGAGAACCAAGTGAAATACGTCACACAGCAGAATAAATGCTAATACAGTAAAAAAAAAACGTTGCTGTGTTAGTGAACATCGTTCAGCATGTTTGGTTTTGACGGACATTTTTAATGCACGAACTATGCATTCTGTTGCTGATTGTTCAATAATTTGACAGATGTTTCGATTAGTATTTTCAGTATTAGTTCAAGTTTAACAGAAGGCTGTTTTTCAGCTGAACTATTCCATTAGTTGAGTCTCTCTCTCCTGCAGCAGAAGAGGAAGCTTTTCTTCTCATTGGGTAAAGTGATGGTCTTTTATCCGGTCAGATCTCTCGACAGTGACAGGGTTCATGCATTATTCTCTTACAAGCGCACAGAGGTAAAAATCTCCCATCAGCCCTGGGTTTCTCCCGGTACGTCTCACACCTCGACCCCAGGGCTGCGTCTCAGGACCGCTTCTGTTCCCACGCTTCACTCCTGTCTGTCTGTCTCTCATGTCAAGCTCAGAATGAAGATGATGAATTATGTATCGCTGCAGCTCTCAGAGAATCCTGATGCTGAAGTCCAGCTCCTGTCGGCTCATAAACCCATCCTGAAGTCCTTTATGAAATCAGTCTGACGCCCTGCATTCGTTAAAGCTGTTCATTTACACATTTAAAGATGCAACACGTTTAATGATGGAGTGACAGAGAGAGGGAACGCCTCAGGCAGCACAGATGAAACCTCAGGCGCTGAAGAACCTGAGAGACACTGAGACATCTATCTGAAGCTGCAAATATATTTATATAAATTGCACATCTGAATAGATAATGTCCACATATTATATATGACTATATAAGTAACTTAATGTAATTAAATAAATGTAAATAATGAACAGTTTTCAAAGAAACGACTACTTTTATTCATCAAGGCTGCATTAAACTGATAAAAAGTGACAGTAAAGACATTTATAATGTTACAAAAGATTTCTGTTTCAAATAAAAGCTGTTCTTTTGAACTTTCTATTCATCCGTGAATCCTGAAAAATAAAATGCATCACGGTTTCCACACAAATATTGTGCAGCACAACTGTTTTTAACATTGATAATAATCAGAAATGTTTGTTGAGCAGCAAATCAGCATATTAGAATGATTTCTGAAGATCATGTGACACTGAAGACTGGAGTAATGATGCTGAAAATACAGCTTTGATCACAGGAATATATTACAGTTTAACAGATATTCACATAGAAAACAGCTGATTTAAATTGTAATAATATTTACCAATTTTTACTGTATATTTTTGATCAAATAAATGCAGCCTTGGTGAGCAGAAGAGACTTCTTTTAAAAATATTTTTAAAATTACCAACCCAAACTTATAACAGGGAGTGTTTAGATTTTAAATATATGTTAAGTCTCATAAGTCTAAGATGAATAGTTCATATATTAAAACATTTAAAATACAGTAGATAAAATATAGCTGAAAATAAATGATCTAAAATATAATTATACATCTTTAAAATGCTTTGCCGATTTTGTCTGTAAAACAGTTGTGGTAATAAAGCCCTTATTAAAGATATTTGAAGAGAGTGTGATGGATGTGTTAGTATGCAGAGAAACACGCTGGGCCCTCGTGCATGTGTGTGTGTGTGTGTGTGTGTGTGTATGTGTGCTTTAATTGAGACACGGAGGAGAGCAGCATGCAATGCTCTAATAAACAGTTAATTATGCAACTCCCCACACCACACCAGCAGATTGAATCTGCATCAGAGACCTCACATACACACACATACACACACACATCCATCAGCTTTAACCTGTGAGCGCATCTCTGCCGCCACCGCCGACCCTCGGCAGGCCAGATTAGATGAATGACAAACGCACTTCTGTTAATCCATTTATTTAATATGCCACTTGTGTGCCGCACATCACAGCCAGACCTGATTAATCTCTCTCTCTCACACACACACACACACACACACACACACACAGACAAAGAGAAAAGGATGTCAGGCTCTCACCTTGTGTAGCAATGTAGTGATTTGGCCTGTGATAGCCCTGAAACACAAACAGACAGACCATCACATCATCACATCACATTTTATACATATATGTGCATGTGTGATTGTGTGTGTGTATGTGTATGTGTTTGTGTGTGTGTGTGTGTGTGTGTGTGTATGTGTTTGTGTGTGTGAGTGTGTGTGTGTGTGTGTGTGTGTATGTGTTTGTGTGTGTGAGAAAGTTTTATTTTTTAATCTTTTGCTTTATACAATACAGATTCTGTCAAAGCAGCTTTATAGTATTAAACTGGACAATAGTTTGTCAATAACGCAAGAAGACAAGAACAAACAGTCAGTTTTTCAGCTAAAGTCAGTTCATTGATGATTCAGTGATGTCATCATCCAGTTCATCTCTCTTCAATAGTGTCTGTGCAATAAAGTCAACAATATTGCCAGAAATTAAGTGTCCCCAACTAAGCAAGGCAAAGGCGACAGCGGCAAGGAACCAAAACTCCATCGGTGACAGAAATAGAGAAAAAACCTTGGCAGAAACCAGGCTCAGTCGGTGAGTGTGTGTGCTCGTGCTCTTGATATAATGTGAGTGTGGCTTGATGTGTGTGTGTGTGTGTGTGTGTGTGTTTGAGTGCGGTGACCTTTGTGAGAAGGTCACGGCTGCTTCTGTACTCACATCAACGTAATTAGCATTAATGTAATCAGAGTTCTGCTCGCCATCCAGATTCTGCAGCCGCACGCGCGAGTGATCATCTGCAAACACACACACACACACACACACACACACACAGACGGACGTCAGCGTCTCATGTTGTGTGTTTCTCTCCAGTTCCTGCGTAATCTGATGGTCTCTGTGTCCAGATAACACGCGTGTGTAATTTAGAGATTCTCACAACCTCACAGCTCGCAACCTACTGTATATAATATTTGATATATTATCATTATAATACATATTACCAGTATATATTATATATTGTTGATTGGCGTAAATTAGAGCATTTTAGGAACTTAAAGGGGTGGTTCAGTGTTTTTTTTCTAGGCTTGATTGTGTTTATGGGGTGCAGTCTTACATGTGTTAATGCTTCGTTTGAAAAAAAAAACGCATTATTTTTCAGATAATTTACTTTTATTCCACACCGCTCTGTCCTCACTCTCTGCCAGCAGGTGGCGCTTAAAGCGTTTCCTTGGTTTCCGCTGTAAACAAAGCAGCGCTGCACTTATGAACTTTAAAGGGGTGGTTCACTGTTTTTTTTCTAGGCTTGATTGTGTTTATGGGGTGCAGTCTTACATGTGTTAATGCTTCGTTTGAAAAAAAAAACGCATTATTTTTCAGATAATTTACTTTTATTCCACACCGCTCTGTCCCTTCTCTGAGAAACAGGCTGATCTTTTCCTGTTTTTATGAAGCCCCGCCCTCAGAAATAGGCGAAGTGCTCTGATTGGTTAGCTAGCCCAGTGTGTTGTGATTGGCTAAACTGCCTCTAGTGTGCGTTAAAAAAGTGAAATCGCAATGAACCACCCCTTTAAATAAATTTAAATTAAAGAGAGTCGCAGATAGATATGAAAATGATCAACACATTTATAACAGAACTGATTTTGGAGCAAGAAATCTTGACTAACTTTATAACCAGAGCCTAAAAATAACATTTTGGCAGTGAACTGAGAAAATATACCATACATTTTTTTTTTCTGGCCATGAAACTGGCTGTGCATTATTTAATTACAAAACAGACAGAACAAATTGGAAACACATCTAACATTTATTTATGTATTTATTTATTTAAGAATATATTAATTAATTTATTTAAATTAGAAAAATTAAGTCACTAGAGAAATATCACTATAATATTATTGAACTGTAAAGTATTTCATAATAATTTTAATTTATATAATAATAATAATAGTGATAATAATATTTTTTTAGATCCAGCTGCTTTAAAAGACATCCAAGGTTTGTTTGTTTATTTATTTATTTATTCAAACTATAAAAATTAAATAAATAAATAATTAACAGTATAATACTATTGAACTGAAAAAGCATTTCATAATAATTTAATGCCTGTATTTTTGAGATCCAGCTGCTTTAAAAGACATCCAAAGGATATTTGATATACTTTATATTTTTTTTATATTACATATAAAAGTTGATTTGACATAAGCAACGATATAATCATGAATAGCAGGAGCTCTGGAGTATTTTGTGGTGAAGAGCACTGGCTGATACGCACATGCAATGATGTTCCCGTAGCGGTTCTTCATGCGGTTCTCGTCTTTCTTGGCCAAATCCCAGGCGGCAGACTGACCCTCAAAGAAGCTCTGAAGAGACAGAAACACACAGAGAGACGGAGACGCGTGAGAGTCCAGCAGAAACCACATCTGCTTCAGTCCTGTAAGCCGAGGAGAATGGGACGAGGTCAAAGCAGCTGAAACACACACACTTATTCCACTCGGACCCGTCTGTCCTTCACACGCAGGTGAAACAGACGCCGTCTCATCTGAGAATCAAAAAGCTCGTCATGAAGAGCACGAATCCCAGCGGTGCAACAGAAACTCAAGGAAAAACAACCACTGCGATATTTCGCCTTGTTTTCCATTAAAAAGATCTAACCATTCCTAAAAACAGAATATGCGATGAATTATTGAAACGCACGGCTGAGGTGCGAGCTGTAATTTAACCATAAACCTCTGGTTAAAAAATAACAGCTTCAGCTTCTCAAGAAAACGTAAGTTTTTACTGAAAAACAAGACAAAAATACTGATTAAAAATGCATTATTTGTAACTCAAGCTGATCTGAATGAACACACACACACACACACACACACGCACTCACACACACAAATACACACACACACACACACACACACACACGCGCTCACTCACACACGCACGCACACACACACTCACTCACACTCACAAACACACTCACGCATGCACACTCATACGCACACACGCACTCGCGCACACGCACTCACACATGGTTGTGTTTCCATGTTTTATGGGGACATCCCATAGGCGTAATGGTTTTTCTACTGTACAGACCGTATATTCTATTGCCCTACACCAACCCTACCCCTAAACCTACCCCTCACAGGAAACTTTGTGCATTTTTACTTTCTCAAAAAAACTCATTCTGTATGATTTATAAGCTTGTTTCCTCATGAGGACCTCAAAATTGACATTTGGTCCCCATAACGTGATAAATACCAGGTAAACACACACAGACACACTCACACACACACACACACACACGGGTCCTGCTCACAGAAATCAGTGTTATTTTACTCTCACTGATATATTATATTACTCTCACTATGTATTATAGTTTTTGTTAATAATATACATTATTTTATTTTCATATTTTCTGTTTTCACTTTAATTTTAGTTACAGATTTAGTATTTTTGTTTGTATTTGTCATTTTATTAATTTTATTTTATTTTTTATATTTTCTGTTTTCACTTTAATTTTAGTTGCAGATTTAGTATTTTTTTTGTGTGTTTTTGTCATTTTACTAATTTTATTTTATTTTAACCTATTGTATTTACTAATGTTTATTTATTAGTTTTAGTGTAGTCTGGGTTCCTGCAGTGTTACTTCAGTATCATTGATATTCTATTATAATTTTTGTAAATATTTTGAATTAAATTAACTTTTTTTATATTTTCTGATTTCACTTTAACTTTAGTTTACATTTTAGTGTTTTGTGTTGTTGTTGTTTGTCTGTTTGTTTTTGTCTTTTTTATTTTAATATATATTTTTAATGTCTATATAGTATTATTAATTTTTACTAATTAGTTTGTTTAGTTCGGGTTCCTCCGGTGTTTATTTAGTATCATTGATATATGATTATAGTTTGTGTTAATATTGTAAATTAGAATTTATTTTTATATTTTGTTTTCACTTTAATCTAATTTAAGTGGTGTTGTGTTTTTTCCCCTATTTTTTTAGTTTTTTTTTTCTTTAATGTGCCTATAGTATTCATTAATTTTCATTTATTAGTTATAGTTTTAGTTATTTTAGTACTTCAGTTTAAAGTAAATGAAAATGAGGAATGTTGCCTTAGCAACTAGCTGTTGTTTTTTTTCAACATCTGATTATAATCAAGCATCAACATGAAGATTTAATGTACATCTGCGTGCTCATACTGTGTTTTACTGAATGGAAATGATAGAAATGATCTACAGATCTAGTTGTTTTCTCCCTCTATAACTTTAATATTCTCAACACAATTGAAAGATCTCCTAATGAGACGAGCTGCTCTGTTCTCCTCTTTGGAATCAAATGTATTGGAGATGAAGAGCGGTTTGACATCGACTTGAGCAGATGAATGACGACACTTCCTTTGACCATGTGACTCCTCAGAGACCAATGATTCATCTGCTTTCCCATCATTAATTCATGCTGGAAAACTTCACTAATGACCGCTCACATCTAACCCAGATCATCCGCATGATTGGCACTTTAGAACTTAAACATCATCTCTTTATGTGTTTTATTTTCAGTTTTCATTCGTTCAACTGCTGGATTTATGATAAAAAATAAAAAATGCTGAAGCTGAAGCTCCTGAGCAACATCACAAACCATAATTTTCACTCAGAAAACTCTTGTAGGTCTACGCCTTACACACTTTAACCTATTTCAATAAGAGTAAAACATATCCCATAATAAATCACTACTAATATATGACCATTTTAAGATTATGAGCATCATAAATGTATATATACATTTAAAATAAGAAACAAGCTTTAAATAAGCTAAAACAATTAAAAATCAAGATACTTCATATTTTAATTCACCCCCTCAACAATTGTATTTTGCCAAGAACCAAAGACAAATACAACTTAATTTTATTTTAACCATGATTTATTTTGCGATTCCAGATGTTTCAAGAACTGTACATTCTTGAACAAAAATGTAAAAATAAAAAGGTAATATAAAAAAGAAATATAATTTCAAATTGCAACATCATCTTGTTTTAATTTAATATAATTTAATAAATTTTTTTGTGATTCCAGAAGTTTCAAGAACTGATTTCAAATGATTTAAAACTAAACAAGCTTTAAATATAAGCTAAAACAATTAAAAATCAAGACATTTCATATTTTAATCCCCTCAACGATTGCACTCTATTTTCCCTTGAAGAAACAGGATTCTTGGAAAACCTGGATATAAGAGGAAAAGTCATGGAAATGAAGAAAATCTTAAACTGAATATAACATTTTTAACAAATATACATTTTCCAAGTTATGCTACATGTTAAAGTATTTTATTGGATAGAAATTGTAAGTAAAAATATTTGAAACAATCCTGATCCCATATCCAGTAAATCATGAATGACTGGAAAGTTTTGCCGACTGACTGGTTAAAAACAGCAGGAGCCCTGAAGAACATTCAGCTCTTAAAACTCCTGGAATAGAAACTAAAAATGTCTTGAAAGCAAAACTTTCTCTTGAGATCTTGTTTTGGATGATGGGAGTCTCGGGGTCAAAAGGCCGATTCAGATGTTCAACAGCCGTCAGTAATCGGCACTCTTTGAGTGTTTTCAGAGAAATGAAGGTGATTTTAACAAAATGAAAGATGAAGGGCCTCAGAATCTCTCTGAATGCGTGAAGGTGGATGAGCAGATGAACACACACACACACACACACTCTCTCTCTCTCTCACACACACACACCTCCTTCAGTCGAGTGACTCTCATCATCGAGTCACAAGACCAGGAGAAACACACACACACACAGTTTAGCAAGTGTTTGGCAGACACCAGCCATGTTCGGATATGTCTGTCAGACGCTTTCACACAAATCACAGTCTACATCATCATCATCAGCAGCGTCTCTCAGTTACAAAATAATCAAATGAAGTGTGATCTTACCTCATTGATCTGCTCCAAAGAGAACCAACAGAACCAGAAGAGAGAGACACAGTGTGTAAGTCAACAATAACACAATACACACTCACACTCTCACACTCTCACTCCCACACTCTCACACTCTCTCACTCTCACACTCTCACACTCTCACACTCTCACTCACTCTCACACTCTCTCTCTCTCACACTCACTCTCACTCTCACTCTCACACTCACTCTCACTCTCACTCACACACTCACTCA